CATATAATTTCTCAACACAATAGATTCTTTATTATCAAAGTGATTTTTATAAAGTAATTTGATAATAGTATTTAGGTGTGGGAAAGTGGGGTTTAACAATAATTTCTATCAGTTTTTTTTTTTTTTAAAAATTATTTGTTTATTTATAATATACCACATTTCTTAATTTAAAAATAGAAAAACAACCATATTTTACATATATTTTAAAAATATAAATAAATTGTTCAACATTTAATAGATTTTTGAAGAGAAATTAAATTGTTGAACATTTAATAGATTTTTGAAGAGAAATTAAATTGATTAAAAAATAATTTTGGTAATAGTTTGGGTTTCTTTAGGTGATAAAAAACTAAAAGTTGATTAAAAAAAAGCCTTGCCAATTTAGGGTGGAAGATTACGGGGAGTATGGAGGTTTAGAAGTTATTTATTTTAAATGTTCATTTATCGTATAATAAATAGTTGATTAATCATTATATTTTTATGATATTAAATCTTTAATCGAATAGAAAAAGTCTATTTTTAAATATTAATATTTTAATTATTTGGTGCACATTCTTTACAATAATGTAAAATGTATGTAAAAATGAATAAACTTAAATACACAGTGGGTGTGGTTTAGCAGAAAGAAAAAAAAAAGAAAAAAAAATTAAAAAAAAAAATAGAAAAATAATAATAAAAACTAAAAATAGATCAAGAAGATTTAATTACTCATTTTGGTTGTGTACATAAATATAAAATAGTTTCATTAATTGAATATATTAGATAGTTTTTTTTTTTTTTTTTTTTGAAATAAATAGTTTTTTTATTTTTAATTTTCGTTTTATAAAATAAGTATTAAATTTTTTTAATGAAGTTATCTATTGTTGACTGGTGTATATACTAATTTAATATTTCCAGCATCGGTGATTGATATATTCGAGTAATGGTCACACATATTACTATTTTGAGAGGCGGTATATATTTCATTCGAGTTTTTTTTCATTGTAATATTGAAAGAAAGGTTTAAGATATTTTTAATAATTGACATTTTTTAAAAATTATAGTTTTTAAATTTATAGTTTTTGTATTTTTATTTTAATTAATTGCTTTTGATTATAAAATAATAAAAAAAATCAAATCATTTAAATATTTTTTTTTTTTTCTTTAGTTTTTTTAGTTTTTTAATAAAACCCTGATCAAAAATATTTTAATTTAACATGGTCAAGAAAGTTGAGATATTTTGATATTGGTTTGGGAAATTTGGATATTTTTAAATAGTATCCTTATAAATAAAGAGAATGAAAATATTAAAATTATTATTTTCTTTACCACACAATCCACATTTTTTAACCACACACTTAATTTAACACATTTTTTTTATATAAAATTAGCACAGATTTTATTACATATTTTTCTATATAAGTTTATAAACATATCATTTAGTATATGTCATAAAAATATATTGTTTTTTTTAGTTGTTTTATTCAACTGAATTCCTTATGAAATAAGATCTTTTTATCAGATGAATTTTAAAAATTAATTAATACTTTAACAATTTTAAAATAATAAGAAAATGATTTAAATAAAAAAAAAGTAAAAAAATAAGTTTATTAAACCAAAAAAAAACAAGAAAGAGGTTAAAAAAAAAATGAAAGAAAAGTAAAAAATAAAATTTTTTTTTTTTTTTTTTATTTAATTGGGTTAAGATTTCTAAATTAAAAAATTTATATAAATATTTTTTTTCTCCTATATTATTATTATAGTTTATATTGTGGAAAAAGTTGTTAAGATTAAAGTGTTTCATTGTATTTCAAGTGGTGGTTGTCAAAATCTAGCTATTCTTTCTTCTATTTCAATTAACCTCCTAATCATAACTCTTTTCTCATCTTGGGTTGGTAATTGAAATCTAAATCTGTCAAAACTATCCATATTTAAATAAATATTATACCTAGTTTTATTTATTATGTTTATTATTGATATTACAAAAAAAAATTGTTATTGAAATATATAAAAAAGAAAATTTATAAAGTAATTGGAATAAAAAAAAAAAAAATTAGTTTAATATAAAAATTATTTTATTTTTTTGTTTAATTAAAATTAATTAATTATCTCCTATATATTGTATGATTTTATGAATCTATGATATGTATATTAAATTGTAAAAAAAAAAAAACTAAAACAAATTAAACTGAGGCTGCTTTGAGGTATTGTGTAGTTGCAACTGTATATTCTTTTGTAAAAAGTGTTGATGAATTTTTATCTAAATATTGTAAAACCTGATCAAACACCTCCTTTAACTGAGAAACCGTTTTTTCTTCTAAGTTTGAAATTACTAAAAGTGATGGAAGTTTTACTATATATAGATGATTAAAAGGTTAGCTTTGGGTTTTTTTTTTTTATTATTTGCTTTACTTACCAAATAATCTTAATAAATGTTCAGCACCATAAATTTCTGACATTGATTTATTTGGGTTGCTTTTTAACATTTGATCATATTGAGGTCTTTCGAATTTATATAAAAGTAAAGTTCCCAATGCCTTGTTAAAATATTGTCTAATTCCGTTGATGGTCTCTTTATATTCTGCAGTTTTATTATCGCTTTCTTCAATTACACTCAAAAGTATATCTCCAATAGATGGATCTTTAGGTAATTGTATAATCTACAATAAAATAATTGTCTATTAGTATGAAATATAGAAATATAAATGGTGGTGGTGCAATGGTATTATTACTTACTGATTTTTCGTTATTTACAAAGTTCCAATCGTCGACCAACTTTCCTTTTAGTGATGATGGTATTTCAATTTCCATATATTTGTTATTTGCATTTTGTACATATCTTGATTCATTTCTTTTTCTTTTATTTTTTGAAGAGGAAGACGAAGCACGAGAAGAATTGGAAGAATTGGATCTTGGAGATTGATCATCATCGTCATCATTATTTTCATTGTCATGGGAGGTTTGATCATCCTCACCACTTGCGTTGTCTGCATCGTCATCATTATCATTTTCATCATCATCATTATCGTCGTCATCATCATTATTGTTACTATTACCATTTGTAGAGGAAGATGAGGAAGATGATTTACTATTTACAACTGTATTCTGTCTTGATTTTTTTGCTGCATTACCTGTTGTTGATGATGCTTTATTATTTACTTTTCTCTGTAACTCTTTATTTTTTTCTGTAAATTTTAAAATACTGCTTGATTCAACCCATTCATTCCATCTATTAATAAAATAATATAATAATAAAACAATATAAATAAATAAACTCTTTATTATTACTATTATTATTTATTGTTATAAAAGCCATTGCTATTACTACTACTATTATTATTATTATTATTATTACTATTTAATATAAACATTAATATTAATATCTCACTTTTCTTTCCAACCAAGATAATGAATAAAATATAAAGGCCTTTTCTTTGAATCTACTTTATTTTTTGGATCTATCTTTATAACCTATAGATAAATAGATTAATATAATAAATAATAAAAGAAATAGTAGTTAGAAAATGATGGGTTTGGAACTAATCTATTATTATTCATTCAATCTAATGGGTTTTATTTAAATTAAATAAAATTTAAATTTATTAAACTTTGTGCACACATACTTTTGCTTCATAAATTCTATTTTGATGGTGTACTAAAACTTTTTCATTCTCTTCATAGGTTTCATCCATTGTTATTATTGTTTAATTTGTTTTAAAATATACATATAAAAAATAAATAAAAATAAAAAAAAATTAAAATTTTTTTTTTTTTAAATTATTTTTTTTTTAAATTTTTTTTAAATTTTTTCGGGATTTATATAATTATCACATGTTGGATATAAATTAAATTTCATGGGTGGGTTTATTTCATTTTTAGAAAAAAAAAATAATTTATTTAATAATAAATAAATCTAAAAAAAATCAAAATCAAATCAATAAAATATAAAAAAAGGGGGAGGGCATTAATGGGGTTGGTGGGGAAAAAAAAAAAAAAAAAAAAAAAAAAAAGGTTAATTTTCAGATAACCAAATTGTGCAATTTGGAATTTGATCATTGTTATTATTAATTTTATTATTTTAAATATTTTAATATAATCTTAAAACTTTAATAAAAAAAAATTAAAAATAATAAAATGAACCAGTTGGGATTAAAAATAATTTTATTTATTAAATTGTTATATTATTTTTACATTGTTGATAAATTCTATTTGTTTAATTTTAAATTGATAAAAAACAATGTTTGATAAAGAATTTTCAATAAAACAATCATATACCATGGTGTTCTAAGATTGTAAAGTTGAAAATTGATAATCAAAAATTGCTTAATATTTGATACTTTTCTTGTTTCTAATAATTGTACACCACACTCTGTTTTGGATTGATTTTATTGAGTATTTGAAGTTTGTGTATTATTATTATTATTATTTTTATTTTATTATTATAGTTGTTATTGGTGTCGATTTTATATTATTATATAATGACAAAAAAGTGAAAAGTTTAATGTGCTATATTGTATGTTTACCAGTACTTGTCATTACAATGCGCCATTCAATAATTATTGTATGGGTTGTATCTGAATTAAAAATAGAAAAAGTATTAAAATAAAATGATATTGATTTACCAAATTAACTAAAAGAACATGATTCTAAGATATCATGATTAATTGAATCCTGTATAATCGATATGGAAAAACTAATCCAAAGTTTTTTATTTATTAAATATTCCATATTTTATTACTATTATAAAGATTATTTATCTAATATAAAAAAAAAACAATTTATATTAAAGCTATTGGATAAAATAATTTAAAACTATTATTATAATAATAAAATTTAAAAGATTTTTTTTTTTTTTTTTCTATATATGTCAGTGTGTATAAAAATTATATTTACCTTTTAATTTTGAGAATACCTTTCTAAAATTTTTGTATTATCGATTTATTTAGTTGCTATTGTTATTGTTACAAATATTAATATCGCTACTGCTATTATTTTTAAAATTATTTATCTGTTGATAATTATTTTGTGTTAATTGGTCTAAAATTATTTTATATTTTAAATAATTTGATTCTATTTTGTTATAGTCATCCTCTAGCTTTTCAACATATAAATTTAATGCATTGATTGAAGCCATAGTTGAACTAATAGATTTTAATTCGATCTTTGTATTGTCATCCATTATACACAGCATCTATTTTTTAATATAAAAAAATAAAAAAAATTATTGGGGTTCAAAAAATACAATAAAAAAAAAATAAAAAAAATATATAATTTTAATCAAAATTTCGAAAATATTTAAAAAAAAAATTTGTGATTATATGGTTTGTTTGCTTCATTATTTTAAAATAATTTTAAAATAATTTTTTTTTTTAATTTTTCATTTTTTTTATTTTCAAAAAAAAAAACACCTCTCTTCTTTTTTTTTTTTTTTTTTTGCACATTGTTTTTATTATTGCCATATACATATAAATATACATATAGTTTATAATTTTTATTTTTAATTTTAATTTTTTAATTTTAATTTTTTATAATTTAATTTATTTCATTAATTTTGTTTCAAAACTAAAGACAATATATTAAATAATAAAAAATAAAAACAATAATAATAAAGATATATAACGATATACTCCTCATTCAAATTCGGTTAAAAAATATATATATTAAATTTAATATAATAAAACAATAATAATAATAATAATAATAACAACAACACACCCATTAAATTTATACACACATATTTATACATCAACACACAAACAAAAACACACATATAAATATATACATACACATAA